CTAGTTCTGGGCAGCACCCACATGCTTCCACGTCCCTGGTGACCCAATCTGCAGTCAGCTTTATCAATACAGATGCCATTTGGGTCATCAAAGGTGAGCCTGGCTGGTGCCTCAGATCTCGAATCAAAGCAACAGAAGAGCAGACGGCAAACGCCTTATGGCCTCTGCTGCACACAGTTCTACCACCACCAGGCTTGCTCCTGACCAGCCTCGGGCAGAAAGAAAGTGTCACCCAGTACAGAGGTGCCCACCCTGGCCGCCAGCCTGCGGGGGCCCCATGACACCAGGGGTGGCCCAGTTCCTCCACACATCTCCCACTCCCCAGTGCCCAGCCTGGAGGCCGGAGCACAGTGGCCTCTGCCCAGCGGTCAGGGCCTTTTGGCACCCATCTCCCACACAGCCCCTGCCCCCTCTTTCATCCCCCCTACCCTGGGCACAACCAGGGGGAGGGTGAAGGAGGAGACATATACAGTGCTCCTGGCATGGCACACTGAGACTGCCAATGTGTGCCTGGGAGCCGTGCTCTAAGCCGGGGTGCCCGGTTAAGTGTCAGTGAGTCCAGGAGAAACCGTGTGCAAATATGTGCATTTCTCAGGGGAGCAGGTCCTCAACATTCACGAGTATTTCAAAGGTTGAGAACCAAGACTCACAGAGCAGACCTGTTTACCTAGAAGGGTTACTGAGTCATACATGGCTTAGAACTTTACCACCACTGACATGAGAGTGTTTCTGGGGGTAAGTCTGCACTCAGAAGACACCAGCTATATCATCCTAGCACTTAATACACCATCTCAGGATATTCTACTTGCTTGGTAAGAAAGACAAGAAACTTTTTATTTTTTTGCTGAGGAAGATTTTCCCTGAGCTAGCATCTATTGCCAATCTTCCCTTTTTTTGCTTGAGGAAGATTAGCCCTGAACTTACCTCTGTGCCAATCTTCCTCTATTTTATATGTGGGTCACCTCCACAGCATGGCTGACAAGTGATATAGGTCCACGCCCAGGATCTGAACCTGCGAACCTGGGCCGCCAAAGTGGAGAGCGCCAAACTTAACCACTAGGCCTCAGGGCAAGCCCCAGATAAGAAACATTTTAAGAATAGGGATAGGATTTTAACCCCAGGGCTATACTGTCTGGCACATGGAGGGTGTTCAAAAAATAGTTGTAAAATGATTAACTGTTACTATAAACCAACTTTTGGAACACTTTAAGCTGAAAGTACCTGTATTTGTGTTTTATTTTTTCCAAGTTCCCTGGGCTTTGAGAAGTAGAAATCAACTGTATCAAAGCGTTCTATAGTGTGTGTTCCAAGTTAATACCAGTAACAAATGAGTATTGGACTCCAGGAGCCAGGCTTGTGTGGAGCCCTTCACACACACACTACACACCACATACACACACACTACACACCACATACACACACAATATACATCACATACACACATGTACGGCAACCCTGTGTGCTGGGCCCTGTCATTACACTTTTTATAGGCGACAAAACTGAGACTTTGGGAGGTTAAGTAATTTGCCCAGTGACACCAGCCGGTCAGTCACCTGAGGCAAAGCACATGGAAAGTGACAGAACCTAGAAATACCCCAGAGGCTTTGACGTTCAACTATCGGTTATTAATTCAATAGGGAATTGATGTTTAGTTACAAAATTAAAATTAAAAACTGTTTTTCTTCAAAAGGGACTCTTTTTTTGAATCAAAGCAAAGCATAAAACTTTATTTGTGGAGTAATTGCCATCTCCTTCAAATTAACTCCAATTTTTGGGTTGAAAAGACATAAGGAATAATATCAACTGATTATGAATGTATTAATCTAATTACATAAAACGGAAACTTAAAAAATTCATTCTAAACAAAGAATTCAAGGCTCTGCCCACCTTGAAGCCTGCCTCTCTGTGCTCCATGGCCTGTCCCATGTGAATGACCTTGCCTGTTGCAGCCGGGCTAGCCGCCTGCACCGGCCCCTGCTGAGGCCTCCCGTCAGAGCCCACTGGTCCCCCTGGACTCAAGCTTTTCCGGTTGTCCCTGGGCAGGGCCCCTAGGAAAACACATACTCCCTATCGGGGACACCTTCACCCACCTCTGACTTCTCCCTGGTGCCTAATTCTGCACATTAGACTCACTAGACACGCACCAGACACTGGGAGGACATTTCCTTCTTTCCCAGAACAAACAGGGACTTCAGTGTCTCCACCAGGAATCCACGAATTTGGTGCGACCCCAGCACGAACACCACTGGCCCCGGCTCTGCCTCACTGGCTGCCCTGGAAGGAGCGCCTGGGTCCTCACTCAGCCGACCGTGTAGGGGCGTGAGGATCCTGCTGTGCCCACATGAGGAAGATGCCTTTCCGGCCAATTAGCCAATCTCTTTTTTTACCCCTGAGAACAAAGTTCTCAACAATCTTCATTTCTACACGTCCAAATTTTAGAAGTGTTCCCTCGACCCTAAGTGCTAATCTGTCCCTGGCTGTTTAATAACCTGTCCAGTGGTACAGTCAGAAGTGACTGATGTCAGGGAGATGTCGGGCTCCCCTGGACTGAAACCCCAAACAAAGTGACGAGATATCCCCTCTGGATCCCAGGCCCTGTACTGGCCAGAGCCCCTGACATGTGCCATCAGGATCCCCCCACGTACCTCCTCCCTCTGTGTACCCCAGAGGACCTTGGCTGCAGCTACCAGCCCCCACCTCCACTTTGGCCTTAAGTGGCTTCAAAATTTACAGAAGATTCTGGTTGGCGGAGTAAGTGGACCTGTCTTCTCTACCAGGTCTTGCCTCGGGGTTCCCACAGGGACCCCACACAGATTTCAAGGATGGACCTGGGCCAGGAAAACGCAAGGGGAGGAGCAGGGAAGACGCCTGCAAGCAGCTCAACCCTTCCACACTTCCTGGAGATTCGTGCTGCAGAAGATGCTCCCTACTGCAGTGGAAGAAGTCTGAGTGGCACCAGCCTCAACGGGTGGGCGGAGGCCAGGGGCGAGCAGGACGGCAACCTTCCGTCCCTTCCAGCTGGGGTTCTGGGTCCCCTTCTCCATGGAAGACAATGTCTAAAAATGTGCCCTGAAAAGAAATGCCCCAAATGGCATTTACCAACCAGGCTGCTTCCTCTCCAAGTCTCTTCTATTTATTGGGATTAGGAGATAAAATGTAAAGGCTGAGTTTCTTCAAGAAACTGGCGTGGATTCAACACAAGCCGTGTGAGCTGGTCCCCAGTTCCCGCAGCACAAAGCCTGTTTAGATGTCAATGGAAAGACTGGGCCTAGTTCAGTCCCATCAACATTCACTAACCGAGCACTGGACCCGAGGGGGCTGGAGGGGAACATGCCCTTCCTCGGTCGGCACCTGCCTTAGCGGCTGACAGGAGTCTTGGACGCCAGAGGGACATCCAGGAATCCAGGTCTCTGCTCTGTCCTCTTCACTGCACTTACTGCACGACAGGTTATATTTACTTACTGTTTCTGTCGCCTCATTAGGATGACCTTGCCCTTCTTATTAGATTTTCTGTGGACACCCTTGGACACATGGTCACCAAGAGGAGGGCAGTAAGAAGGGAGGACAGCAGATGACAGCTAGTTCCTGGAACAGTGCTGAGAGTGGATCGAGAGCAAGCCATGACGGGGTTGGCCTGGGGACCGAGAGGAGGAAAGCAAGTAGCGTGAGGAAGGCCTGTCGCTGGGCTGCTTTCTTTTCACGACAAGATGGAACGTGGAGCACAGCAGTTCCCTCCACGGCTGCATGGAGGCTGGCGAACTCCCAGGCATGAACTACACTGATCTGCATTTCTGACCTGACAGAACGTGGCAGACCTATGTCTAAGGGCAGGGTGGGGTGGAGAGGGAAGTAGTGGGTCTAAAATTTAAAACTCTTAGGTGGGTCTGCCCCCAGAGCCCTCTTTCTTTCCACTGGGCTATCATCTTTTCTCCCAAAATATTTATCCTGAATCTAGAGAGGGTTAATTATTTGTTTTCCACAATGATTTGTGACAGCACTCCCTTAAATAGCAAGCTCCTCTGGAGCACTTAAAATGAGTCCACTTCTAAAAATTCAATTTACATGTCATTTTTCAGGAATATTATAAAAGTTAGAGGCATCCTCCCAGAAAGCAGCTTTTCTTCCAGGCTTGTTCCTTCGTCCTCCATGGAAGAATCTGGAGGCCTGGGAGCCGGGGCCAATGCTGCAATCTACTGACACCTGAGTGGAAGCTGCACGAGGCTGGTGCAGGAGAACCATCGTGGGCCTACCTGGCAGCAGCTCCCCACAAAGCAGTTCCTATGTCTGCTCAACCGTCTGTAAAACTCGCCTTGCTTTTTATTTCTTATGAAGCCTTTGCTAGGGACTGAGAGGACAAGGGACCTAGAAAACAGACCAGGAAAGTGTTGCCCCAGCCACTCTAAACACTGTCCTCTGAACACGTTCTTACAAGAAAAAGATAGGAGCGCATGAAGAGCACATTTCCAGTGCCCTTTAAAGCGTATTTTAGGAAACACAGAGGCGTTTAAAAGGCCTACCAGACTAAATGTCTGTTCTACAAGAAGTATTGGCACCCTGCATCCTCAGATTTGTGCAGCTCTCAGACACCCCCGCCTGCCCCGGCACCAGGGAAGGGCACCCTCTGAGGCCCCTCCGCCCAGCTATGTCCTTGAAGTTGAGGTGGCATGCTAACAGATGTGGCATGGAGCACAGGGACCAGAGGCGAAGGTGAGCTTGACGGTCTGAGCTGACCACACACCTGGCTGACGCTCTCACATGCCCAGCTTGTTTGGTACCTGCCTGCGGACGCCAGCTCCTGCTTGCATGCGATAGACAACCTATCAAGGCCCGTGCTGCCCAGCCCGCGTGGAGGCCGCGTCTGCTCGCACAGGGCTGAGGACAGTCGAAAGCAGGCAGCAGACTGCTGGTCTGACAGACGTGAAATGCCTACAACATGTCTTCTGAATAAACTAGAACAGGAGGACCCCTTCAGAAAGACCTTGACGGCCACGCCGCCTCACCTCTGGAGTGTTCTTCTTGAACTCTCGGCTCTGCTCGATGAGCCGCTTCCTAGACTGCTCACTTTCATCTTGCCGGTTCGCCAATACTGTTGCGGTGGCATCGAGTTCCCTCTGTTGGGAGAAACAACAAGGAAAGACAAGATTGTAACTGCACTTTGTACCAGGGGAGACCATATTTGCCCCTGACCAGAGAACTGGTCAGGGCCCCCGTGGATCCAGGGTTATCAACTCATCAGCAGAGGAGCGGCTGCGGCCGGCGGCAATCATGGGGTTCCCGTCCAGCCCCCTATGCTGGTTCGAGACAACACACTTGCTCGGCTTGATGTGTTATGTACTGACACGCGCCTCACGACTGACTGTTTCTACAACAGAACACGCAGAAATGTTTTTCTTTGTTAAACCAGAGTCAGGCCAGTGCCCAGTTGCCATCCCTCCCTGGAGTCGCTCATTTCTGTTCTGAACAAGTGTCTCTTCTCGCCATGTCTCTGCGCTCCAGTCATCCTGCTTTACTCGGGCCCTCTCAACAGCTCATTCTGTCTGTCTGTCCTTCAACAGTGGGGGCCTGCAATCTTCTGTCATGATACTTCATTTGCTTTCATGCAACGATACTTACCGTGGGTTTACTATAGGCCAGACATCATGTCTGGGACCATTAAAGTTAACCTGTTACTTGTTTTCAAGAGGGACCTTTAAAAGGCAAATTCCAAAAAGAATCATTTCCAGTATCTTGTAAACTTCAGAAACGAGGGCCCTAGAAACAGCAGTTCTCCTCAAACTATTGTACCGGCACTAAAACTCTGAGAACCACCAGGGGAGTGGGTCTCCTGTGAGAACACCTCTGTGGCACATGACAAAACGACCCTCAAAGCATCAGAGAACCTGTGCCCTGGCCTCGGAAATTCTAAGAGGAGCTGCCAAGAGGATGTGTTTCAAACAAGCCTGCAGCAGATGGGCCCAGAATGGTGTCCCAGGCTGACAGCAGGAACACAAGGACACGTTCCTGCAGCCACCAAAAGGCCTGTTTTCTTGCTGAGTGGCTTCACTCACTGAAGACACACACTGGCACATTCTGCTCAGGATGAGAGGTGGCTGCTCCAGGTGGCTTCTCAACAGTATGGACCATCCCGAGGCCCAGCAGAGCAAGGACCCTATCGAAGGCTGAACGACGAGAACAATCACAGATGAAGATCCAGCCACAGACATCCAGGAAGCACGTGAGTCTTTCTCCACCCACCCTCCACCCACCTCATGAAGTTCCACCTGCTTTCCTTTTGAGTGGAAATAACCAAAGTAGTCTGGAAGCCCTCCTGGTGAACACTGCATTTGTAGCAGTCCAGGTGGGCCACTGCCAGGCGAGACGACAGTGCTGGAACCAACATCCAGCGCTGTCAACTTGGAAATCGCAGAGTTTTACGAGGGGGAGGGGGAGAGACACGGGATGGAAGGAGTACCACCACTCCACACTCTCGCCTTTAGTGTTTCTGGCATGACAGCAAACCTTGGGCAAACAAGCCCAAAAGAATACCATGGGCTAGCATTCAAGAACAGATGTCAGAGCTACTGCATGGAAGAGGGAAACACCACACGTTTTGATAGACCACATTTGAAACACACCCCAGGCAAGCGAAGGAGGAAAAAAGAGCAACCGTAGCAGTGTGGCGACGCGGGGAGCGAGAGAAGAGAGCAGTCGCAGCGTGCGGGAGGTTTCTCAAAATACCAACAGTCTGGTAAGGAGGAGGACTTAGACATCTATATTTAAGCAGCAGCAGCAGAAGTTATAAAAGGAGACTTCAAGATGGGGAAAAGCCAATATTGAAACATGACAAAAAAAGTAAAGTTGATGTTTCGTTCCAATCACACACAGATGCAGAAAACTTCGAGAAAAGCAAAGAGCACTGACTGCTGTCAACAAGGACCCTACTTCCCGGGAGGGGTGTCACCCAATGAGTGGCGTCGGGTGACTTCTGCCGCCAGGCGCTGGATGCTGGGGGCACACAGCTGACTGTGAGGTCCCGGCCCCTGCCTTCTCATCCAGGGGAAAGAGCTCAGGGACAGTGGGGGGACGCTGCAGGAGACGGCGAAGAGCACACAGTCTGTGGGACCCCCTGTTGCCCTCGGCTCCCCACATGTCCCTCTCACTCGAAGGTCCGCCCCAGCCCAGCGCCAAGGAGCCCAAATGGGGAGAACTGCGCCTGGAACAGGTCACTTGACAGAAAGCAGCAAATCCACCTCTATCACAGGGCTGCAGGGCCAGCACATCTGAGGCAACTTGCTGCTGTCAGTCAGGGACCCTCCAGGGGCCAAGAAGGCTCCCCTCCCCACGTGTGCAGACATACGCAGGTCCACATGAGAAACCAACAGGGATCTCCAAATTTAATACCGTGCCACCGCCCGCCACCATGGAGCCAGATAGGCACAGCCAGGACAGACCGAGCTCCCCCCACCCTGGTTTGGTTGGTCACATTGAAGGCTCACAATCTTTGACCGAGTCCCTTAAAAAAGACACCACCAAATCCCTTTGAAGGACACCAAGGCTTCCTAAGACTGCGGGGACAATGCAAAGGGAGGAGACGCTATTAAACATAAGCCAAATACTGTTTTATTATCTACCCAGCCTGCCTTTCCTCAAAGTGTCAAATACAATGACACATTAACAAGGGAATTTAATGTGGTTAGAAGAGGTGGCAGTGGGGTCCTAAAATACAGAACCCTCAGCCCCTAAGTCACTGGTCACACGTAAAAAGGAGCACAGAGAGTCCCCACATCTGAAAGGCATTAAAAAGTTGCAAAGAGCAAAAAAAAAAAAAGGGAACCAACCTAAATGTCTAGCAATAGCGTACTGGCATACCCTCTCAAGGATTATTCTGCAATGGTTAAGAAAAAAAGTATACAGTCCTACATGCACTATATGAATGGAATGATTTTCAAGCTATATTTAAGCAAAAAAAGCCAAGTGCAAAACAATGCTACCATTGTTTAAAAGAGCATCTATATATACACTCGCATAAGCTTTGATTGTCTCTAGAAAGATACAGCAGACAGTTGTAACTGCGTGGCTCTGCAGTGGCACCAGGCAGGAGGGGACTTGCTCTTCAGTGTACATCTGTTGATGGTTTTGCCATGTGCACGCATTATCGAACTGGAAACGCTGCGATACATAATTGTAAAAATCCTGCTCGTGTGAAAAAATACACATATAGTTATAGAAATGTATTTTCCATAATGTGTCCCATATATGAGTGTTCACGGTCTGCAGGTCCACCTGCCCAGGGGCAGAGTCCTGGAAGAGATGGATGACCTCTTGACTCACTCTGGTGATTCAAAAAGTGAGGCAAGCGTGTCCTTTGTCAAAACAACAGCTGGTTCTTGCACAACACATTGTGCAGTGGCCAGTCTCAGGGCTCATGAACGAGGAGGAGGTGGCCGGACACAGAGAACACCGCTCGGCCAGGCCAGAACTTTCCCGGGGAAGGGCAGAGGAGGGCGTCCCCTGAGAACTATTTAGAACTGTTCTCCTGCTGGAAACACACGACAGCCCCAGATCCGAGGGGATGGGAAGCTGGCGTGCTGGCGGCAAACCCACGGGCCCTGAACACGCGCACACTTCCCAGCAGGCCAAGAGAGCTGGAGACCGCACTGAAAAATGGTCTTGCGAGGACAGGCTCCTTGCAGAAACTGTGGGGTTTTCTTTCAAAGTGATCATGGGGCGACCGCCGGCAGGAGGCGAGAGATGCAGGGAAAACCCTCTGGCTTTGGAACCAAGGGCTCCGTGTAAGAGCCATACCTCTTTCTGTGAACCTGGTGTCCTGCTGAAGAGCTGTGGCTGGCTGCACTCCTGGGTTCCTCACTGAGGATAACTTCCGGGATGCTTTTTCTCCATTCCTGACAGATCCTCAAAGAGCAAAGCTCCTAACATTTTAAGTTACTCCCCGCCTGAACTCCAGCCTCTCAGCCAAGTGTTAAAGATTTATTAAACACAAAAAATAAAAAGGGACCACGTAGCTGCCTATTTAAAAGAAACGGTGGGAGAAAAATCTTCCCAAATACAACAAGTCTTTTAAGGATGTCAGTGATCAGTTTGGAATTGCTACCCCTTCAAGTGCATATGTCAGTTGTTTGTTTCACTCTGGGGGACACCTGCAGTGCCACGGCCACTTCTGTGAACCTCTCTCCTTCCGCCCCCAGGCCAGGCCTGCCAGTGCTCTCAGCAGACGAAGGGGACCCCTCTCCCCCTGCACATGTGGGCCAGGGAGAAAGCGCAGCTGGGCCAAACGCAAGTCAAGAAACATCTTTTTATCATCGCTAACTTTACTCCAAAGAGTTCGTTCATCTCATGTTTCTTCGGAGCTAATCTGTTAAACTAATCAAACAGTGAATCCCATCTAAGAATTTACAATGGCTTCATGGGTGACATCAAAGAACACGTGCAAAAAGCGAAAGGCTGGCCGAGGTCTCCGCGAGGCCAAGTCCTCGGGCGTTTTCTGTTTCGCTTCCAGCAGCAGAATCATTTGGACAAACGGAAGCTGCTCTGGCTAGAAAAGGGTGAGGGCCCAAGCCCACTTACCAGCCTCCTTCCATCACCCCACCCCCCTCACAGCCCCCTGCACAGAACATCTGAAGACGCTGCAGACAGTGGCCTCAGAGAACCCTGGCTTGGAATCCAGGCCCCATCCCTGCTGTAACCTGTGTGGTTTTGGTCAAATGACCTGCCCCATCTGGAGATCATTAAGATAATGCATGTTAAGTGCGTGGCACGGCAAATGCTCCATCAAGGTAAATTTTTCTGTACTATCAGAGCCACACACTTGACCTCAGGCCTGAATTCACTCTGCCACCAGTACCCCCAACTAAGTCAGGGGCTCCAGGGATGCACAGATGAATTGGAAGCTGACCCTGACTTCCAGCTGCCCACAGTCCAGCTGAGGAAACTAGGCAGGCATGGGAGAGCGACAAGACAGAAGGGAATGGGCCAGTCGAATGAAACAGCCAGAAGTTAGAAAAGGGAGAAATACTGCCCGCAAGAAAGGTCTCCACATTCTTGTGCAAGACGCCCATCTTCGCTGGGGTGGGATGGGCTCAGTCCCCATCACTCTCCTCCCTATCCTCCTCAT